ACACGCAATGCATTGCAGAATTTCACAAAGTTAAGGTATGAATATTTTAAGGGAAAAGACAACTTGGTAGACCTAAATGTTGACTAGATAATATTAAACTGGTTCTTTAATTTTCTAGGGTGGAAGGGCGTGTGCTGGATTAATTTTGCCGAGGGGCGAATGGCGTATTCACCGCAAACACAGCAACAGGTCTTCTGCTTCCATATGAAGAAGAAGACCTTGGCTCGCTAAGAGACTGTAAGCTTCAGCACGAGGACTATTCCATGGAGTCTGTTATAAACATCGTGCGATTTCCTGCTTTGAATCACATACATGCTGTGGTTAAGACGTCATCGTAAAATTAAAAAAACGATAGATAGATTGTTATCGAATACAACATAAGCTAACACTGAGATGGAATGGAATGTTGTTCAAGAATATCTTAATAATGTTACCTTTAAGAACACAGTTGCCGACATTTTTAAACATGAGAGTAGTGAAATACATCTGAAAAATGGGCCGGATATGATGACTGCGTCCAATTTATGTCATAATAGATCCCAATCAGTAAATGAGAAGTTTCTAACTAAATATGGGCTCTAGCAATTTCTGTCCACATATAAATAATTTTATAATGAAGAGCTTCATAAATCTTATATATTAGTGGTTGTAGGCTATATTATTGTTAACAAAACACAACCGAAATGCTCTTATATGATTCATACGATCAACGTAAGGAAAATCAGACTTAAGAGATATCTGGCATAAATAGGGGAAATTATAAAAAGAACCTTGAGGGAGTAAACCACGTGGTAGACCTCGACGATGTGTAGCGGTGATATTGGAGAAACAGAGTGTGAAGTCGGAGAATAGATTAATTTCACTCAGAGCACGGACCTGTAGCGAGATATTGTAAATGTTGCAACAATTTTTGGGTTCCAATATAAGCCGGGGAGTTTCTTGACCAGAAATCTACCCGAATAATCTAGCGTACGCTTAACCATTCCGGAATAGCACGAAAAGAAATTGTTTAAAATGCAGTTCTTCAGATCCGTCTTACAGAAATGACGTGGGTCTTCAGTTGCACCGATGTAATCCCACCCTTCGTGATCCTAGTTTTTATGCATCGTGGTTTCATAATCGTGTTGTTTTGCGGTCGACGTTTCAGAGAGATGTCTTAGGCTGATGGTGATTTTTCGTCGAATAATTACGATATCGATTCTGAACTATGAGTCCGAAAATACGTAAAAGGAAATGGTTCTCATCCGCATTAAGAGAGCCAATTATTTAAGGCGACAACGGTACTGAGTAAAATCACGGCAAATTCGTCATAAGCGGTGAACTCCTGGACGACAATAAAAAACACGATGTCTCTGGAAGCAGGAATTATAATCACTGCAATTCGGAATCTGGTGATAACAGTGCTGTGGGATGAAAAGGCCTGTTGTAAGATTCAAAGCACAGAGATAACCATGTGCAATACACCACAGTCTCTTCCTTCCACATTTTCCCCCCAAATCGACATTTACAGTCCACGACTGTAATCTTGAGACTTGCAAGGAATGCAGGAAGTCCGAAGCGTTAAAGGCTTCCCCCCTTCACCCCGCAAGTCTCAAGATTACAGTCGCGGACTGTACATTCGACTTACAAAGTGATAAACGCAGTAAGCCTTCCCTGCTTATGTTTATGGGTGGCGTACACGTAACGCTCCACATATTACAAACTTTGACACTAGGTCTAGGTTGGAAGTCACTCCACGCTCCGTCCGTTTTACCTCTGCCGGGGATCGAACCACGAACGTCCAGCCTGTTGTCAATCACTTTACTGAAGTGTTCGGGTTTGTTATGTAATGCAAAGTGAAACAAACCAGAAATTAAACACGCAAAATCTACGTCATTGACACAAGAAGAAAATGCTTATAAAAGATCATCAGAAACACTTTGCCCATCCCTGAGACATATTATCCACTTTCCTTTTCCACTTAATTTTCTTCCCTGTCTCTGTGGGAGAACGAATTCTCGACTTCATTGCTGATGAGAAGGAAAGAAAGAAAGAAAGAAGTCATTACTGATACCGTCAAAATGTTCTCTTTAATATATCTGCGAATATGAAGGATTAATAGATTACAGCTAAATAATTGTGTTATATCAAATACACTTTTCCTTCTATCCTTTCCTTATAATTGAATTAAAGACGAACAGAAAATAGTGAAAAAAACCTGTAGTTTGCAAAATGTTGTAAGTTTTGCTGGCACGTATCACAACCAAATCCTTCAATTTAGAATCTGGACCTAATCAGCAATGCAAAAACGTTACTAGCTCCCAGGATCTAAAAAAATGTGGGTTGTCTGACTCAATGCAAAAATGTTACTAGCTCCCAGGATCTAAAAAAATTCTCTAGTGGTGTTTAATCTTCATGAATATTCTGCTAGTTACTTTTCTGAACCGATTTAAGACTGCTACTACAGATCTAATGCGCTCAGATCCGAATTCGTAACTGAAACGCTGTCTCCTGAGAGCTGGAAAAAGTAGTCACGTCTATTTTTTTAAAGCTAATACCTCATAATGAGCATAGAAATTTATAATACACATTCAAGTAAATCTCATACTGAACCAAGTTTTAAATTCTGTTGTTAATATTTCAAAATTACTTACAATTATAGGCTTGTGCTAATAGGTTAGTTAGATGTGGGAAACAAATAGTCTAAATTGCTTAATTACTTATGACCGTGTTAAGTATTTAATCGTTTTAGGTCATGCAATGGCATTCTTTCAACTGGAATTGTTATAGCGTTAAGTGACGTTTGAAGATCGCCGAGTGAGAGGTGGGGAGATCGAATGAGGCAGATTTGGGCTATTTGAAGAAGTTGTTCCGGCATTAGCATGGAAAGACCGAATAAAAGTCTCAAAGTACTAAGTGCTACAAATAAAAATAAAATTACTAAATGCATCAAAAGTCATGAGATCACACAACTCGAGTCCACGTGAAATAATTGTTTCCTGAATACTTTTAGCTTTACGCCATCTTTTATCTTTGGTAATTAATATTACTACTACTGTTTTGTTGTTGTTATTATTTTGAATCAATTTTTTGGTTGGCCCACAAACTTCGGGCTTTTGGCCGTCATAACTCGACCACAGTCCACAGACCAGGTGAAACCTTCGCCAAGGCTTGAAGCACGAGTGAGCGGGATCGTGCGCACGCGCAGTAGTCGGAGCGACCCGAGCATGAGGCTGATGAGTAATGCTTCACCCTGATGACGGAGGCAGTATGACCTCCGAAACGTCGGTAAACATCGACCAGACTACACGGCGCAACAACCCAGAAGACAGAAATCTTCATACTCTGATCTCTTCACCATCCCACAAGCATAAATGCCCTTCTCTTGAAGGATCTTCATGAGTGGTACAGATGTGAAATACTTGTCAAAATAAAACTTGATGGGTTTTTGCTTTCAAGATGTTTTGTTAGATCCTGAACCACTCTAGCTCCCAAATGTTTTCTGTTGTCTGGCCTATTTCTTCAGTATACATCTGACATTCAGATACATATCCACTGTCATTTGCTCATACCCTTACCTCTTACCCCCCTCTTTATGGGATTTTGAGACAGGAATTGGCGGAGACTGGAGCTCCCTTTGAATCGAATCATTGATTCATCGACTGACTGAACTTTTGATGGTTTGTAATAGTCCTTGAATGTCGTGGACAACATTTCTAACAATGGACGGATCTTGTAGAGTTTGTCATAATTCTGGGTCGTTTCTTGGTGGCTGATTGCTATTGTAATTCACATGTAAATGGCCAAGGAACCATTCAAAATGATTTCTGCTCATTACTGAAGCTACAAAAGTGTCTCTAATCATTTCATCATATGACAAATAGTCTTTATTGCTTGGCAGTTTTTTAATTCCCATAAGGATATTGATAGCAATAATTTTTTTAATGTCTTTACCTGTTGGTTGAAATTGTAGGCTTCTTTACAATCCCACAAGCATAAATTCCCTTCTCTTGAAGGATCTTCATGAGTGGTACAGATGTGAAATACTTGTCAAAATAAACTTGATGGCTTTTTTTCTTTCAAGATGTTTTGTTAGATCCTGAACCACTCTAGCTCCCAAATGTTTTCTGTTGTCTGGCCTATTTTTTCAGTATATATCTGACATTCAGATACATATCCACTGTCATTTGCTCATACCCTTACCTCTTACCCCCCTCTTTATGGGATTTTGAGACAGGAATTGGCGGAGACTGGAGCTCCCTTTGAATCGAATCATTGATTCATCGATTGACTGAACTTTTGATGGTTTGTAATAGTCCTTGAATGTCGTGGACAACATTTCTAACAATGGACGGATCTTGTAGAGTTTGTCATAATTCTGGTCGTTTCTTGGTGGCTGATCGCTATTGTAATTCACATGTAAATGGCCAAGGAACCATTCAAAATGATTTCTGCTCATTACTGAAGCTACAAAAGTGTCCCTAATCATTTCATCAGATGACAAATAGTCTTTATAGCTTGGCAGTTTTTTAATTCTCATAAGGATATTGATAGCAATAATTTTTTTAATGTCTTTACCTGTTGGTTGAAATTGTAGGCCACCACCTTGCTTCTGCGTAGCATACAGGTTTGTTTGAAACACTAAATGATTTATAATGGCATGTGTAAACACAGAATGAAACATATCAATAGGAGATTCACAAGTGTCTGATATGTCTGTAATGACATCTTCAGTTTAACTACTGGCATCTGAAGTGCCTGATTCTAGTTCACTGGGAATTTCATCAAATACTGCCATTATTAATTTGTGAGTCAGTTTTCCCCCCTTTCAAAAATCTTCCTGATGCCATGATATTCTGGAGGAAAACAGAATGGAAATGTTCAGTATTCCCACTGGTTAAAACTTGAAACCAAACATAACTGTCAATATTGTAAAGCATCTTACATTTAAACCAATGATAATATATAAATTAATTCATGACAATATAATATAACCAGTAGGATTATTACAAAACACTCACCTAATTATTCCAAATAGCACTGACACAAAATCAAAAGCTTACAGGTTCCAACACAACCAACTATGTAGTGGCAATGCTTTTTCACATGGCTGAAGCATGCCTTCAAAGGTACTGAGTACCGTGGATGGATACAAGATGGCAGCTCTATGTTCCAGTGGGTTTCGTGAAGAAATCGCAGGGTACTGATAAATTGATTTTCGAAACTGTGGTTACGCCACGAAACCTCTGGGGCTGAAAGAGTTATCCTTATTGGTTTTCTTTGGGTCATGCAACCACTGAAATTTTGTTTGCCATCTTCGATCTATTAATTTTGAACGCTCTTCATAAAACCATGGTTTATTTTACATTCTCCAAAGTATTCTAGTTTCTCTTTGGCTGAAATTTTGATCCAGTTTCTGACATTTTCCCACTCCCTGTTGATATCCACACTTTCGTTATATTTATACGTTTCTAAAATCTGAAACCTATTCGAGATTTTAAATTGATATACATTGATTAATACATTAGATTCAGGTACACAACACAGAAACCTGTCGAAGAAGAACTGATTCACGCATAAGTATACACGAACGTGTGTCTGGATTTTACATAACAATATATTATATATGTATATATATAATTATTGAAAAAAGCTGTTATAGCAGTACTTATGGCGCACTTTGGAAAAAAGTTGTTATAGCAGTACTTATGGCATGACATCTGACAACCTATTCGCATACAGGAAAGATTACAGTATAGAAATCGAAAAATTCGT